AAAAAAAAAAATTAGCTGGGCATGGTGGCTCATGCCTGTAGTTCCAGCTACTTGGAAGGTTGAGGCTGAAGGCTCGCCTGAATCCAGCAGGTCGAGGGTGTGGTGGCCGTGAGCGTGCCACTGAACTTCAGCCTAGGCGACAGAGTGAGACTCTGATTCAAAAAAAAACAATCTTACAACTCAAAAGTAAAAAGACTAAACAACTCAAAGCATGTGAAGACACATTTCACAAAAGAAGATATACAAATGGCCAGTAAGCCCATGAAAATGTATTCAAGGCCAGGTGCAGTGGCTCAAGCTTGTAATCCCAGCACTTTGGAAGGCTGAGGCGAGAGAATTGCCTGAGTCCAGGGGTTTGAGACCAGCCTGGGCAACATGGCGAGACATCGTCTCTACAAAAAATGAAAAAATTAACTGGGCGTGGTGGTGCATGCCTATAGCTCCAGCTACTTGGAAGGCTGAGGTGGAAGGATCATGTGAGCCCAGCAGGTCGAGGCTGCGGTAGTTGGGAGTATGCTACTGCACTGGGTAACAGGGTGAGACTCCAACTCAAAAAAAAAAAAAGAAAAGAAAAGAAAATATATTCAAGTTGGGCTCTGTGGCTCAGCCTGTAATCCCACGCCTTTGGGAGGCTGAGGTGAATGGATTGCCTGAGCCCGCGGGTTCGAGACCCGCCTGGGCAGCGAGACCTCATCTCTACAATAAATCAGAAAATCAGCAGGGCGTGGTAGCGCGTGCTTGTAGTTCCAGCTCCTTGGAAGGCTGAGGCGGAAGGATCGCCGGAGCCCAGCAGGTCGAGGCTGCAGTGGCCGGGAGTGGCCACTGCACTCCCGTTGGGGCGACAGAGTGAGACTCCAACAAAAAAAAAAAAAAAAAAAAAAAATCACAACCGCGGTTGCCAGTGGGGTGAGGGTAGGGCAGAGACTTATTTTTATTTTCCTGAGATTGGGTCTGGCTCCGTTGCCTAGGCTAAAATGCAGTGGCATGCGATCACAACTCACTGCAGCCTTGAGTTCCTGGGCTGGAGCTTTCCACCCTCCTTTGCCTACCATGCAGCTAAGACTACAGGCGTGGGCTAACACATGGTTCTAAAGGACACAGATTAATTTGGAAGATGAGCGAGGGAATTCCTGGGGTTGATATTAATGATCTATCTCTTGATGGGGGTTTGGGTTACACAGGGGTGTGCATTTGTCAATACTTAACGAATGTACACTTAAGATTTGCGCATTTCAGCAGGTAGGTGGCTTACGCCTGTAATTCCAACACTTTGGGACTGGGAGGATCGCTTGAGGCCAGGAGTTAGACACAAGCCTGGGAAACAAAACAAGACA